GAACTTCTGGATAAGACAGGTTTTCTTCGACTCGAATATCTTTATCTTGTTCCAGGATTTGGCCAGGGTCATGGACACACTTACGAAGTTGCGACATATGGAATACATTGTGCACTCCTTCTAGTTGTAGAGGGAGAGCCAATCGGTAAGCTAAGTTACCAATTTTCTCCAAGACTTCATAGGGCCCAATGAATCTTGGGTTCAATTTTCCCTGCTTCCTAAACCTTATGACTCCCTTAGTTGGGGATACTTTGAGGAACACCTTATCTCCCACTTCAAATTCTAGAGGCTGCCTTTTCAAATATGCCCAACTTTTCTGTCGATCTTGGGCAGCCTTGATTTTCTCTCGTATCACTGATACTTTATCTTTGGCCACCTGCAACAACTCTGGTCCTATGATATACATTACTTGAATTTCATCCCAATATAGTGGCGATCTACACTTTCGACCATACAAAGCTTCATATGGTGCCATTCCGATGCTACTATGATAGCTATTGTTGTAGGAGAATTCTATTAGTGCTACCTATTCATCCCAACTTCCTTTGAATTCCATGGCACATGCTCTCATCATATCTTCAAGTGTTTGGATAGTCCTCTCACTTTGCTGATCAGTTTGAGGATGATAAGCAGTGCTAAGATTAACTTTTATTTCAAGTTGCCTTTGGAACTCCTTCCGAAATTTAGAAGTGAACCTTGGGTCTCGATTAGAGACAATAGTAACTGGTACACCATGTAATCTAACAATCTCCTTGATATACAACTCCACTAATTTATCCCTAGGTATCCCAAAACGAATTGGGAGAAAATGTGCAGATTTGGTTAACCGAAATCCACTATTACCCATATTGCATCATTGCCATTCTTAGTCCTTGGCAATCCTACCACGAAGTCCATTGTTATGTTTTCCCATTTCTATACAGATATTTCTAGTGGTTGTAATAAACCTCCTGGCCTTTGATGCTCCGCCTTCACTCGTTGACAGGTTTGGCACTTAGCAACAAACTTGGCTACATCCTGCTTCATTCCCCTCCACCAATACAACTCCTTCAGGTCCTTATACATTTTATTTGCTCCTGGGTGGATGGAAAATTTTGTACTATGTGGCTCCTTCAAAATCTCATTTATCAATTCCAAGTCTTTTGGCACACATATACGTCTACCTTTCCATAGTTTATCATCTCCCATTACTTCGAACTCTAGTAGCTTTCCTTCCTTCACCTTTTCCTTCAACTCCAGTATGAAGGCATCATCACCCTGCCTTTCCTTGATCTTTTCTAACAAGGTCAGTTGTAAGGTTAAAGTAGCCAAGACTCCTTCCGTTGATTCTACTTGCTCAAGTCTTAATTCTTCCATTTGCTAGACTAGCATTAGAGCTAGATTTCCTGTTCCTTTCCGGTTCAAAGCATCAGCTACTTTATTGGCCTTTCCAGGGTGGTATTTTGTATTGAGATCGTAGTCCTTAATCAATTCTAGCCACCTTCTCTACCTCATGTTTAGTTCTTTTTGAGTGAAAAGATACTTCAAACTCTTGTGGTCATTGTATACGTCACAAGTGACCCCATAGAGATAGTGTCTCCAAATCTTTAGTGCAAAGACCACTGCAGCTAATTCTAAGTCATGGGTGGGATAGTTCTGCTCATAAGGTTTTAGGAGCCGTTTGTTTAGAGGGAATCAGATTCGGGATTCGGAAACGGAATTCATTGAAGTGTTTGGTTAATGGGATTCACAATTCCTGGGATTGACTGAATTCAATAGATCCATTCCCACCCCTCCCCCCATTATTCGATTGATTCAATTTCTGAATCCTTTTTTCCTTTTTTTTAAATTTAAAATAAATACTTTAATTATTTCCTTTTCTTTCTTCTCTTCCTCTCTCCTCCATCCCATTTCTCTCTCCCCGTAAAATTTTCTTCTTCCCCTTCCCTTTTTTGCTTCCCTTTTTTATGGCTCCAAATTTGATTCCATTCATGGATTAACGTAAAAAACTACAGGTCTGAGATTTCTATCCGGACTTGTTTGATCTGATCCTAGTCGGCCTCAAGATTTTTTTTTCAATTCTTGTTTTTTTAATTGAGTGTTGCCCGTTGCCGTCATCTTCAGTGGTTTTCAGATCTGAGATTCTCCGTTTCAATTGGAATGGGGTGCTGTTTATTCGGCCGCCGTTACTGAGATTGAAAGCATATTAATTGATTGAGATTTGGGATTGAAGGGGTGAAAGTGAAAGTTTTCTGGGGTTTAGATTGTGGTCTATGAAGGAGATGGTATGTGGTGGCAGCGTTCATGGAAGATGGGTGGTGGTGGTGGTGGTGGTTTGTGGTGGTGGTGGCGGGGGAGGAGGCAGAACGGTGAGGAGGGAAACAGTTTTTTTTTCTATCTTATTTTTTATTTTTATAACATTATAGTAATAATAATAAATAGCAATCCATAACTCAAACCAAACGCAGTATTTGGATTCATGAATCTGAGGGAATTCGAGTCCAATCCAAATCCAATTCCTAATCCGTTTCCTAATCCATTTCCAGATAACAAAACAAATGACTCCTTAGTTATCTTGAGGCATATGCTATGACTCTCTCATTCTGCATCAACACACATCCTAATCCATTCTTGGAAGCATCACTGTATATTGTGTATCCCTGTTCTTCATTGGGCAACGTTAGTACAGGCGCTAACACTAGCCGATTCTTCAATTCTTGGAAACTCTCCTCACAAGCAGGGGTCCATTCAAATTTTGCTCTCTTCTGAGTCAACTTGGTAAGAGGTACGGCTATCTTTGAAAAGTTCTCCACAAACTTTCTATAATACCCAGCAAGTCCAAGAAAGCTTTGCACTTCAGTTGCATTACTAGGTCAAGGCCAATTTGTGATTGCCTCTATCTTAGCGGGGTCGACAGACACACCTTCCCCAGAGATAATGTGTCCGAGGAAACTTACGCTGCTTGACCAAAATTTGCACTTGCTAAATTTAGCATAAAGCTTTTCCTTTCTCAAGGTTTCCAGGACTTGTCTTAAATGTTCTTCATGGGACTCTTTATCAGGGGAATATATGAGGATATCATCAATGAAAACTACCACAAACCTATCAAAATAATCCCTCATTACTCGATGCATTAAGTCCATAAAGGCAGCTGGTGCATTGGTTAATCCAAAAGGCATCACCACAAACTCATAGTGACCAAACCTGGTGCGGAAGGCACTCTATATCTTCTGGCTTAATTTGTAGCTGGTGATAACCAGACCTCAAATCTATCTTGGAGAAGACTTTTGCATTCCTTAGTTGATCAAAGAGGTCATCTATTCTTGGAAGGGGTACTTGTTCTTGATGGTGATCTTGTTGATTTCTCGATAGTCAATACACATCCTTAGACTCCCATCTTTCTTCCTAATAAACAACACCGGTGCTCCCCATGGTGATGTGCTAGGCCTAAGAACTTTAGCTCTAGTAGCTCTTGGATTTGTTTCTTTAGTTCTTGCAGTTCTAGTGGGGCCATTCGGTAGGGTGCATTTGATATAGATTGAGCATCAGGTTATAGAAGGATTTCAAAATCTGTTTCTGTTTCAGGAGGTATTTCAGGTATTATTTCAGGAAGACGTCTTCGAATTCTTGAACTATTGGGATGTCTTTTATTTTAGGTTTGCTTTTTGGCTTCTCAATCACACTCACCAAATATCCTTCACATCCCTTATGTAACATCTTACTTGCTCTCATTGCTGAGATTATTGGAACTCTTGGGTTACGTACCTCACCCCCTAGGAATTCACATTCCCCTACCTTAGGGTCAAAAAATTCTACCTTCCGTTGCTTACATATCTTAGCATGGTATTTTGACAACCAATCCATTCCAAGAATTACATCAAAATCATGCATTGTGAGCTACACTAGGTAGCCTTCAAGACTTATTTCATTAATGTTTATAGGGCATTTCTCATGTGTTAGGGTAGAGGTTAGTATTTCTCCTCCAGGTGTAGAAACTCTTAAGGCATTTTTCATAGTTTGGGGTCGCATATTAACACACTTAGCAAACTTCTTAGACACAAATGAATGAGATGCACCACAATCAAACAATACATGTGCAGGCATAGAGTGTACTAGTACGGTATCTGTCACAGCCACATTTTTTACTACTATTTTGAATTCATCTCTCCGCAGCCACATTTTTTGGAATTGAAAAACCTTCGGCTTATTCTCATGGTATGGTGCTACTAAATGCATAATAGGGCAATGATCTGAAGTTGTACGACTTAGATTTTCAACCGAGGATGCCTGGAAAAATTCATGCCATTCTTTAGTGAACAAAACCCTATCCAACTTTTCACAAACCCATCCTGTACTTCTTGTTCCTCCCCACGTATATTCTTCCCCAATCAGCAACATTTCCAACTAGGCACAAGCTTCAATGCATTCATTGAACTCCATCAGTGCTACATGATCTTGAACTGAAACCCCTGAAAATTCCTCCAATGACCGGATAACATTAAACTCCCCTCCTATCATCCATGGAGAGTTCAAATATTTTTGCCTAAAGTCAACCATACTTTGCCACAAGGTATTCCTATCAGCTCTGTTGGACTTTGCTTAAACAACAAAGAAATAAAATTTTCCAAGAACCAGACCATGAGTTGCCTCAAAATGAAGGACATTCCCTTCAAGCAAGCAAACTGCAAACTCATTCCTACAAAAGACCCATATCTTGCTAGTTTCAGAAGAAAAAGCCAAATCAAACCCTAACTCCATCTTATTTCATCAATTTTGGTCATCACCAACATCGGCTCTAGAATAATCAAGATAGAGATCTTATACATTCTGATTATTGTCTTCAGTCGGTGCTAAGAGGCTTGATTTTTAATGGCTCTGATGTCCATATAAGTTGACCTATCATTGAAAAAATGATGAAAGGATGAACTATTATTATTGTAACCGAGAAGATCTCTGCGGGACGATGCCATCCGGAGACTTTACCATCTCAGATTTTGGCTTTCGACCATGTTTCTTTGCAGCTAAAACCACCCCTTGCGCTGGTTCATGCACCACCGAGTCATTTCCTTTGACATCTCCTTCAGACCAGCTTTCCTGCTCAACGTCACCAAGTACCATATCTTCTGTATATTTTCAACATCGCCATCATCAGAGTATTGCCCCACCAGCAGCAACATACCACTTTCCAGCATCGTTAACGCGCGCTGAGCCAAGCTAGGGTTTCTTACCTGCGGGCCTTCGATTTCTTCCAATTGCGAGGATTCATTTTCTTCCAACAGTGGAGAGCCATCATGCACCTCAGTATCGGCATCAATAGTCTTGATTAATACATCACTACCCTTCTCAATAGTCGCAGCTTCAGTCTCGACAATCGCAGCATCAAGCGCAGCTCCAAACACAACCATTTTAGATGCAATCCCAGGCGTTGCTGCCTGGGATTGCGATTCAACCATGGCCACTGTTGCATTCTCCACTTCATGAATCCATTCCAGCTGTGGCTCTTCTGTATCCACTTTAGTGATTGTTTCCAGAACATCAAAACGGTTTGTCATCACCGTTGCTGCCTTTTCGACCGTCACAATCTCAGTCGCAGCCTCAGTTGCGAGCGGCGTTGCAGCAACAGAAGTTACAGGCTCCTCCTGTCACGGCTGCAGTTCATCTGGTTTTTCCTGCAAGCTTTTAACTGGAGAATCCTGTATATCTATGGGAATCGCTACCTTATCCGTCTCCGTTAGGCCGGAAGAACCATTGGCCTTTACAACATTTGAAACCTTCTGAACCAGATTAGGGTTTTCAGGCTTCTTGAGTATGTGTTTTGGCTGCGATTCCTTGGAAGCATTTTTCTGCTTAGGCTGTTTAGCCGGCTTTTTTGCAACACCCTTCTTGCGATCTTCCGCCTTGTGGCCAATTTTACAACAATTTGAGCAATAGGCTGAGACATGCTCATACGTGAAGAGTTGCTCGTGCTTTTTCCCCTTTTTCCCAAGCTTAACAGATTTTGTGAACTCCTTCGTAAGATCTACTTCAACACAAAATTGTGGCACTGAGGGCCGCGTGAGATTTAGGGTTGGAGCATCAACCTTTAGTGGCTTACCAATCACTTTAGCCATTGAAAACTAAACTTCGGGATTCAAAAATTCTATTGCGAGATCATGTAGAGACACCCAAATTGGGACAATCGGTCGATCTTCTTCAAACTTGAAACCCGATTTCCATTTGAGGATCTGCATCGAAAATCCTGCAATGTTCCAAAAGGTGCGCATCCAACAATCTTGATAATCATGCTCCCTTTCGAAACGGATTAATACATGCCTAGGGTTAATCAACCCTAAAGTATAAGTTCCATGAAATCCAATCTTCTTGAGCTCTTTATCGATTTCCTCCATTTTTGGTCGTCCATAGAAAATCATCCCAACCAAACTTAATTGGTGCAGAGCTATTAGACTTTGATACTCCTCATCTTCATATTCAATAACAGTTGTACCATTTACAAAAGTGACGGGCTTAATTAGGGTTCCTTTTGGTTGCTTTTCATTAGAGGGCTTGTGAAAGTAACTCGCGAATGTTGGTGGAAGCCCAATGGGGGCTTCTCCAGAATGATTTCCGGTCAAGGTGGCCGGATGTAGGTAGGGTTTCGCCAAGATAAGAGCCGAGAGAGAGAGAGAGAGAGAGAGAGAGAGAGAGAGAGAGAGAGAGAGAGAGAGAGAGAGAGAGAGAGAGAGAGAGAGAGAGAGAGAGAGAGAGAGAGAGAGAGAGAGAGAGAGAGAGAGAGAGAGAGAGAGAGAGGTGAGCTTACAGATTTGTCTTCAAGGGTGTTTTCAGTAGCGGATCTAGGATGAAAATGTAGAGGGGGCCACTTGTAAGATAAAAATACCACTTAGAGAAAAAAAAATTATTTGTCGCAAACAAATTAAGGCCAACATTATTTCAAACCAAAAAAAGGTTAATACAGAGGCGGTCACATGTAACATAAAAATATCAATTAGAAAAAAAAATTTGTGCAAACAAATTAAGGCCAAAAATATTTCAAACCAAAAAAAGGTTAAATTCAACTTTCACAAGAATTACTTAAAGGAAGTTAAAAAATGCGAAATACGTATATCATTAATTAAAAAATACAGTGAATAAACTAACCTTAATTGAGAAGAAAAACATTGAATGAGTGATTATAAATACTCACTTCATGGTTTGATCACTTTCGGTAGTTACTATTTTTAGAGAAGAAGTGAAAAAAAAATAATGAAGAACGGCGCAACTACTATGTAACTTGTGACAGTTGTTTTATTATTTCAAAAATAAAAGCTTCTAAGGAAAAAAAAAAACTTAAGTAAGAAAAACAAGACCTAATGATTCCTACCCAACTTCAAACTCTGGAAACATTCACAAAGTTTTAATAATAATAATAATAATAATAATAATAATAATAATAATAATAATAATAATAATAATAATATCATAAGACATTCAAAAAACACTACACAACTACAAACATTCTATTCTATCTAGGATACTATCTAGGGCTGTTCTTTTGGAGAAAACCGACCAGAACTGAACCGATCCGAACTGAACCATTATTTTGGTTCGATTCGGAAATGGGTCAATTTCTTTTGGATCACAAATAGTTTCGGTTCGGTTCGGTTCAGTTCGGTTCGGTTTGGGTTACGGGTCTAAACCGAATTGACCCGAAATGAACCATTTCGCTAGTGATGACGTCATCAAAAGTGACGATGACGTCATCACGCCGGAGACGGTCACCGGCCGTCAGAAAAAAATCAATTTCCTGCAAAGTCGCGAAATTTTAGCCGGAAGTTGTCACCGACGGCGACCAGCGGCTGTGGTCAAAGGTGGTAGCAGCGGTCAACGACGTCATTATTAAAATATAATTATTTACTTTTTTGTTTTTTCGGTTCAATTTGGATATTCTTTTGATCCAAACCAATCCGAACCGTTCCAATTTTTAAAATCTTCGATCCGAACCGATTCGAATTGAAATTATAATTTACTTGTAGATTTGATTTATTTTCTTTTGTCCTGATGTTCAAACAGCATTTTATGAAAAAACGGGTTGTTTCCATAATATCATATCTGCTCTTAAAACTTTTGATGAAAATATGGTATATGGATGCCTTGTTTGCCATATGATATGCGGTCATAATAATAATCTGTTTAGTTATGAGAATCTTTTTTTTTTTTAATCCCAAAGGAAAGGTTAGGATGGTATTCAGGTTTCAACACTCAAAAAAACTCAAGGGGTATACTTAAGAGGTAAATTTTTGAGTTAGCCAGTGCCATACAGTATAATGCACCAAAGGGGTATACCCAAAGGATGAACATATATACTATATAGTTCCCTAATTCCATCTCTCCCCATTCTTTATTATTAATGTGCAGCAAGAAGTGGCAGAGCTTAAGTCTCACCACTATTACATCACCTCAACTTTTATGTTTCTTTCCGAATCATTTTCATAGATAAGGAAAAGACTTTTGGTCTAAAACCATTAGTTCTTTTACAAAGCTAGGAAGGGAACTGAAAGTTTCAAAATTTTAAATTCTCCCATTCACGCCATCTTTGCTAAGAAGTCCGCTACAAAATTGCCTTCTCTATAAAGATGAATAATAGAATACATTCTTCTCTCCAAGATACTCTTCATCTCAACAAGCTTCAGAAAATGCCTCCAAAGAAACACAACTTGGTCTGCCAGAGCATCAGCAAGAAGCTTGTTGTCAGTCTGAAATACTACATTCGGGAGTTGAAGTCACTCGCACTTCCGTAATCCAAATAATACTCCACAGATCTCCGAAGAATAACTATCAGCATCTCCAAGATAGCCACACTCTCCATATACAAAAACACCTCCTCTCCCCTTATGACGAAACTATATCCAGCACCTTCTAAATTTAGTGGACATCAACAAACAAATATATGTGTGGTTGTAATATCTCCATTAATTTAGTGGACTCGTTTAAATTTCACCCTGAAATGACGGGAAGTCATAAAATCATTCATGAAGGTAAACTTTAAATATTAGCGCATAACCTCTGAAATGATCATAATTAGTCGCATCGTAAGACACATTTTATGTGTTAAAATCTCTCTTTGTTACTTTTGGTTTTGAAGATTTTCCTTTACAATAAAAAGAAGAGTAAAAAATCAACACTTTAATTACCATTTTCTTTCTACCAAATTTTCTATTGACTCCTCATCTATATCTCCTCTAACCAAACAATTTTTTTCCCTATTTAACTTTTTGTTGGCCTCTTCAGAACGAGCACCAAGGTAATGATCCGTCTTCTTGTTTTTCTCTTATTTGTTTGTTATATGTTTGTAATTTGTACTTGCAAGTTTTGTTATTTAACAAAGTAATGTAATGTTAATCATATTTTTTTAAAAAAAATCAACATGGTCAATTTATTTTTATTTATTACATGGGCAGTTTTAGAGATAATTGATAATGAGGCCACAATCGCTTAACCGCAAAAGTTTAGTTTTGTTACTTATGTCCCAAATATTCAAAATCATAAGGAGACATTGTGTACATCATATTATGAGATATCACCGGCAAATTTTCTAACATTCGATGCCAGAATATTGACATTCCATTCATTCATCAAATATACATGTTCATTAGGGAAATATGAATTACTTTTATTTTTTTCATAATTAAAATCTTCATCGAAGTACGCTGCAATCCTTTCATAAAGATATCTAAGTACCCTGAAATTAAAGTAGATGATGGGTATCTCTAATTGCAAATACCATAAGTTTTGCATCTATCATTGAAATTGGCTTCTTAATTTTTTTTCCCTCAAAATTAAAAGAGTTAAGGAATGATTTGCTTAAAGGGGCACTATTTTTTTTTTATTAATTTGGATTTTTGTGAAAACCTCTTATAGTAGCTATTAATACGATTCAAAGAAAATATTATGAATAAATATTTTAATTATGAGAGGGTAAATCTAGAGCATTCAATTTAGTATTAGGACAGATAATAGTGAATAATAGTTTTCTTAAAATGGATTCTTTTCGTATTGTTAAAATCTCTACAAGATTATTATGATCAGAATTTATTATTGGTTTCTTAAATATTGATACAGTTTGACTTCTAACTTTCCTGATGGATCAGGCAAAATACTAACAGGTAAAAACTGACAAGAAAATTGATTGGGAATGAGGTGGCTGAATCTTAACTATCTCCTAACCCTTAAATGGATAAACACCTAAAGGAAATTTATAACTATGGACGGTTATGATTCATTTCCTATTAAAATTCCCTGTAAAATTTCTCTGCACAAATTATTATCTTTGCCATAAATTGGTGCTAATGAATTTTATAAAAGTAAGGAGACTAATTGATTGAAGGAAAGAAGAGAAGAAAAAAGCACAAAAATTAAGTTTAAAAATTCATTTTTTGAAAGAAATAAATTTAAAAATTGCGCCTGATGGAATTATATCTTTGAAATGGCTAAAATGTTTTATTTTTTACTCCTTTATTTATTTAGGCACCTTTCTCATTTTTGAATTACCTAGTTCTATATGTTTATGTATAAAATCATATAACACATTTTGTTATGACTTTAAATAGTTACTCATATTTTAGAATTTAATTTCCTAACATGACTGCATTAGTGTGGGATATTTATTCATAAAGTTATTCTAAATAATACAACAAAAATGTATGAATAGCCATGTAAGAGAGTTTTAAGTCTACAATTACAAAAATAATTACATCAGACCAATCATTATCAATATCTTATTTTTTTAGCTACTAATTATATAATGATTTACAGTGTTAAGTTCAAATGATGGTAGGTTTAATGGCAACCAAAGCGAAGGAATCACATCCTATAAAAGAGAGGCGGGGAATTTCTCTTTCTCAAAAGAAAAGCCCTAGTGTTTCCAGAAATGTGTCTCCTACTAGAAAAAAAGACTCAAATTCATTGTCTTCTTCTTCTGGTAAAGGTATTCCGAATTATCTGAAACCAACTATTAGCTCAGGACCAGATCCTTCTAAACATCCCGCGAAGAAAGTCTCATCCACTACAGACAACCTCAACAAGACCACTGTTAATGCTAGAAGACGATCATTAGACAAGCCCATGCAAGCATCTCATTTACAAAAAACGCGAATTTCACCGACTCCGAAGGAAAAGAGTATTCGACATGCCTCCTCTTTTCATGCCTCTAGAACCACAACAATGACTTCACAGAAGCTCCTTTCAGATAGATTAAGAGGATCAAAAGTATCGTCAAAAGATAGTCTTAAAGAAATACACTCTCTACATGAAAAACCAGTGAGTGTTAAGAAAATGTGCAATACAAGTGACAAGAAAATACAAGAGTTCGATGATCAGGGGATCGAAACTTTGGAGGAAGCACAAAAAACATGCCCAAATGATAATGAAGAAGAAGTAAATGTCCATCAAGTGGTTGATCAAGATCATGATGTTATGAATCTTGAACCAGGAGATGTAGATAGTTCTCATGTGATTGGAGGTGATGAAGAAGTATTAAATGATGTTGGTGGATACAATTCAGTTTCAGAGGCATCACTTGCTTTTGCTAATGAAAACCATGCCCTTAAGGATCATACAGAAGAATATGATGAAGTAAAAAAAGATGAAGTTCATGACATGGGGGTTGTTGAATCCTCCATTGTATCGAAGCACCAAGATGAAGATGTTGATCATGATAAAATTGATGAGGTGCATGGAAATTTACAAGGTGAAGAACCCACTAGCGACAAATCAGAAGATGGAAACATTTGTGGAGCAGAAAAATTCAACGACGATCATAAAGGAAAACTTGAACAAGGTTCTGATACTGAAGTTGGAGATTATGAAGCAAGAGGTGAACCCGCTGAAGAATTAACAAATGTTCAAAAATTAGATCAAGATAAAGAAGAAGATGAAGAACAAGAGAATAATGTAACATGCGATGTCATCGAATCAACTGAAAATAAATTAGATGATGTCTCTGAAGAAGAAGTAAAGAAAGATGTTGATAAAATAATAACAAAGCCTGAAGTGGTCCAAGGAAAAAGGGACTCAGCAGTAGTATCCAATGATGTGATAGAGGAGACAGCAAACAAGCTTCGAGAGCAAAGGAAAAACAAAGTGAGAGCATTGGCTGGTGCCTTTGAAACTGTCATATCATTGCAGGAGAGTAAGTGATAAAATAGGCTTTTATGGTAAGAATATTTATTTGCATACACCTTTGCACATCATCAGAGGTGCAAGCATACACTACGGGAAAAAACAACTGTAATATTCCTAGTTGCTTACCCTGGTTGAGGGAATATCATACAACCACGTCTGATAAATAAATCAATAGATAATTGAACACTTCATTGGATTAACCTGTATTGTTATTAACGTGTAGACAATAAATTTTTTCTACTAACAAATTGATCAAATTTTTATAACTGTTCATCCTTGCCATAAAACTAATACAAAATCCTTGTTGTATCGTATTTTATGGTCTCCAAATCAACTCGTGGGAAAAATGGTAAACCTTTGTCTGATAATCCCCTACATTTTAAAATTCAAAACAAACGCATAAAGTCATAACAAAATCCATTGAACATACCTTAAATTGCAGGCACCCCGTGATGGGTGTCGAGACCACCAAAATAAACCTACTTAAAACTTGTAGCAAGTGATAAGAAGGGTCGATCTCACAGAGACGGGAAACACTTAATGAAAATTGGGATCTAGTACCAGAACACAAGACAAAAGCAAAAACAACAAATTGGCAAGTGAGTAAGTGACTTGGCAAAGTGATGGTAGCCTAGGGTCGTCCTCCACTCTACGCTATATACATATGTATTTATTCTTCTAGCTCTCTATGTGGTATGAAACTATAATCAATCAAGCACATAAACATTGTAAGGTCACTTCCGATTGTTCCAAACAGTAGTCCTAATAGTAACCAGTAAACTAACTTCCGTTGTAGACTCGAAATTACTACTAAGCCATTAAGATCTTAAGCCCTTACGATTGCCTCGTGCCAAACAACTAACTTTCGTTCTTGTTTGAAACCTTGGGCTGTTACCCCCTCGTCACCGGTTAATTCTAGACGTTCTAAGCAAAGTTTACCCTTCTGGGATTCCCCCCACATGCATGCACAATTAGCTTGAACGGCCTATTCAATCTAAAAGGATAAATTAAACTCTAGAACTAGGCACACAAATATCATCCGATAGCATGAATCAAAACATAAATATATAGAGTAGAGGGATTAGACCCTAGCAATGAGTTTAGATACTCATGGAGTGAAGCTCAAACACCACAAAGCTCAGGTGTTGAGACTTCATCCTGATTACAACAGAAAGGAGAGAAAATAGGGAAGAGTAAAGTCAGGGAGTGTGGTTAAGTGCAGCTGACTTCGCAGAGTCAGCTTTTCACTTCTCCAAGTGACACCCTTGAGTCTACTTTCTAGAGTTATACTCTGTTTCTTCCAACCGAAATAAACTACACTACAATCTACTTCTAAGTTGTATTCCGAACTTCGATGCCTTCGTCTTCGTGCTGCTGCTGCCTTTTATAGAGGTTGGGGGAGAGGTCTTGCTTAGCCATGTTGGTCTCCTCTTTACCCGAAGGGTTTTATGCAAAAGAGAGGAGACCCATACTTCTCAACTTCCCCCTTACCTCTAATCAACTTTTAGGAGAGATTTAGATTAAGATTTCAGCTTTAAGGCACATTAATCTCCTCCCAATGTCAGTAGCATCACCTCACCAACGGCTCTTCTTCCTTAGCTTCGAAGGATTGCTTTAATTTGGCCTTCTTCCCGTCAGATTCTTCCTCTTCTCAGCCCTTGCACGATCAGTCCCTGCAGCAACTTCCAATTCAGCATGAATCTTCACCATTTTGCCACTTTTTGCCCCATTTTCGGCCGGTATTGCAATTCAATCCTTGGACAACCACAAGTCACCAAATTAGCCTATAACTATATAAACCTTACCTGATTGACCCATAATTTATGCATAAAGAGGTAAATTGAATGCCTAAAAATATAGTATGAAATACACTCATCAACTCCCCCAAACTTGAAGAGTTGCTTGTTCTCAAGCAAACAAGACATCTACCCCCCCATACAAACTGAAAAACAGAAAATGCAGTGAAGGAAATAGTCAAGTTTTTTGTCTCAGGAATTGGTCTCATCACAGGCTGATACAAGAGTTCAGAATCACTTGAGCAAGTCAGAAACTAACTTCCCCAAGTGCATGGATGACAATCACAGAACAAAGTGTTGAATTTCATTCTAAAGTTAAATTCAATGAGGCACAAAGGACATTCCTGGATTTGTACCTATTTCCAACAAGTGTGCAACTAGGTTATTCTAACTGGGTTTTCGACTAAGGGCTTCCTCACTGTTCTGCAAGCACATTGGCTGCATCATTCACCCTCATACCCCTTTCCTTCTGTCCATATTGGCTTTTCTTCTGGATCTTTTCAACTAAGGCCTTAGCCAAGCACATTTTCAGCTCTATTTGGCATTCTAAGCATTTTTATTTTTCACCTCACCAGGCCCGAGTATAGTCCTCTCTTTGGTTGCCATTCTTCACATCTCAAGGGTTTATAATGCCTTACTAGACATTCTGCCTATACTCCATCAATTAGACAGAAACCTCAGATTAACCGCCTACATCCCTTTTTTCCCTAGGTATTTCAAGCTATTCCAAACCACTATGGGCTCGAATCGAGGTTTCCATAATTTGTAGGGTTTGCCTTAATCTCTACCCAGGTTTACAGTCCCCCCAGGTAAACAGACAAGTGAGCTCTAGTACAGATCACAGAAATGCAAGAAATTTCAATTTTTTAGCATTTTAAGTCCATGAACACACTTTGAGAACTGACTTTGTGACATGAGCAAGTGGAGACAAGTTATGAGATGATCAAGATAGTTCTAAACAAGTGTTCAGCCAAATTTTGAGACTGAATTTATTTTCATCATTGACATTTGACTATCTATTGAGCATGCATTTTCTACTTTACTAAACACAAAAAGACAGAAGACTGACTCAATCACAAAGAGGGATACAGAAAAATAGAAGAAAAACAAAAAAAACAGGGCAAGGGCCCAAAAACAAAGACTCGACAGACAGAAAAATAGAGACACAGAGAGACAGAGAGAGAGAAACAAAGACATAGACTAATTCCTAAACATGGTTGATTCTCTTCACAGCCTCCCCCAAACTTAAAATCCAGCATTGCCCTCAATGCTGAGTAAAACGAAAATGAAAGGAGATGAAAAAGAAGCAACAGACACACATAAAACAGAAAAAATGCAAATGCAAATAGGAAAAGAAAAAGAAAAAAAAAGAAAAAGAAACTAAGTACTCCCCTGGTCTTCGAAATCTGATGATTAATAATTTGGTGGTGGTCCCTACAAGGACCAAGGCAGTGGCAGACGGGAACGTTCATCATGAGATCCGAAAACTACACCGGACCGCTCCATTAATCTTGTCAAAAGGCTAGGGAAGAACAAGCCCTTCTCCTTTTCATCCGCAGCACAGAGTTCCATTTGCTGGTGGATGATCAAAGAAACATCAATGTTGATATTGTTAATGATGGCAAATAGCAACAATGCCCTGTCAACCGAAACAAACTGGCGAGATTTGACTGGCATGATATTGGTACAGATCAAATTGAACAATCCCCGAGGTGATCCTTCAGATGTTTTGCTTCGAACTCCTCTGGATAACCATATTTGTCCAGACTCCACTTCACTGCTGTGTGATTCCGGTACAGGGCTTTCTTGATAGTGTCAGAAAGCCTTGTTTTCACCGGAACATTTTCAACCGCTGCCTCACAATCATTGTTAACTTCCGGCAGGCCCAGTACTTCTCGTACAGCTTGCTGGCTTATGTCCACTGTCACGCCTCAAACACAAACAAAGGGCCCTGTGACAGCAGTTAGGTTGGCATAGAGTTCCTGCACCGCCCTCATCCTTAGTTGGGTGGTGGGGTTAGAGAGACCTCCCCATTGTTCATCCTCCAAGTACATTGATGGGTGATCTTGGTTGAAGTATTGGCGCTCAATGATGGGGACTCTATTCCGGTGCCGCAGAAAAAATTGCCATCCAAATTCAATGATGAAGATCTAGCTGTCTCTAGGGTTTTGGAGGCGTGTTCTTACCTCATGCCTCTCGTCCCTATTCAGATTAAGACTTGGAACAATCACATGTCCTGCCAATCTTCCGGCGGAACTACACTCCCCTGATCGCAAGGTCCTGCGCGGCGACATATCCTTAACCTTGGGATTCATTTTGGCAGCAGTGTTTTTGAAAATTTGAGAAAATGGAAGTGTTTGTGCTAAAGAAGGTAAGGCAAATGGTGTTTGATAGAAGGAAAGCAAAAGGGAAAAAACAAGGTGAGGGGTTGGAGTATGTATTGGTCAAAGATAGCAACTCCCCATGCCTCGCCTTTCCAGATTCTTAACTGCAGTACTGTTGATTCCTTCCCCCAAACTTAAAGTCAAAATCGCCTCCCGAAGTCAAAAACCAACTTACTTGCATTTTGAAAAGCCAAAATGACTTTCGCAAGTCAGAAACTGGCTTCTGGAAGTGGTTATCCTCAGAGTGATGATACTTTTCCTTACTCCTTATGACATTCGTCAGATACTGATCATCACTCGTCGTGGGATTCTAGCTTCTCATTTGGGTTGGAAAATTACCTGCAAACAAAAAAACTACAAGAGATAGGGTTAGAACAAAAGTGCTTGGGTTGCCTCCCAAGTAGCTCAACAGTTTATAGTCTTATGCTAGACTATGCTGAAAGTATCATTCAAGATCATGGAGTTACAGAACATGACTATTCTAGTCTCCTTCAGAGTGTACTCCCATATACGGCTTCAGCCTCTATCTATTCACCAAAAATATGCTCCCTGTCTGTAGGTTCATCATCTCCACAGCCCCTTGGCTCAGAATCTTGCTGATCTTGTAAGGGCCTCCCCATTTGGATTTTAGCTGCCCAGGAAGAGCCTTAACCTGGAGTTATAGAGCAGCACCACCTGTCCTACCTCCAGCTGCTTCTTGACCAGCTTCTTGTCATGGAATCCCTTTGATTTATCCTTGTAGATTCTAGAAGACTCATAAGCTTTCTGCCTGAATTTCTCCAATTCAGTCAGTTGCAGAAGCTATGCTCCCTGTTGAGTTTTGGATCCAAGTTTAACTCCCTCAAGGCCCAATATGCCTTGTGTTCTAACTCAACAGGAAGGTGGCATGCTTTTCCATACACCAATTTGAATGGAAACATGCCAATTGGAGTCTTAATAGGAGTCCTGTATGCCCAGAGAGCATCATCAAGCTTAGCAGACCAGTCAGTCCTTGAACTGCTGACTACCTTCTCCAATATCCTCTTGATCTCTTTGTTGGACACCTCTGCTTGACCATTGGACTGTGGATGA